TGTGCTAAAGCTTGAACCTGTATTAGGGCGTGCAGTGTTTGGAAAACAGCTACCCAGATAGGACTTTGGAAAAAGTGTACTAAGAAAGGCACTGGATGAGAGAAATCAGGAAGCTGAGGATGACGATAAAATAAATAGAGGTATAGGTCATGAGCATTTATTGTGCAGGGCTGCAGCAAACTTTAGGCACAATAAACTCCCTTGGGCATGGTTAAAAAGAAATGGAATGTTTTTGTGCAATAAAGTTTCCATAAACATATCATGCATACATTACCAATTTCCAAATATTTAAATGCTCCCAAACCCATCTCTTACTCGAAGAAATCCTATCATCTGACCTAGACACAGAGATGAATTCATGGAACTAATCTCAAGTAAGGAGCTAATATATAAAAATATATATATAAATATATTACATATAAAATACTATTTTTAGAGCAGATTTAGGTTTACAGAAAAATTACAAAGAAGATAAAGAGAGAGTTCCCACATACCACCCTGCACATACACAAGGTTTCTCCTGTTATTAACATCTTGCCTCAACATGGTACATTTGTTACCAGTGACGAGCCAATATTCATACATTATTATTAAAGTCCAGTTACACTGGGGTTCACTCTTTTGGTGCACAGTCCTATGAGTTTTGACAAACGCATAATGTCCTGTGTCCACCATTACAGAATCATACAGAATGGTGTCCCTGCCTTAAAAAGTCCCTGTGTTCCACCTATTCATCCCTTCCTTTCTGCCCCTAAACTGTTGGCAAACACCGATTCTGCTATCTCCAGTTTTGCCTTTTCTAGAATGTCATATAGTTGGTATCACACAGTATGTAGCTTTTGCAGACTGACCTCTTTCATTTAGCAGTATGCATTTAAGGTTCCTTTGTGTCCTTTTGTAGCTTGATAGCTCATTTCTTTTGAATCACTAAGTAATACTCCATTGTATGGATGTATCACAGTTTATTCATTCACAGATTGAAAGACAACTTGCTTTGAACAAATATGTATAAAGCTGCTACAAACATTTGTGTGCAGGTTTTTGTGTGGACATAAGTTTTCGTTCATTTGAATAAGTATAATGTTGTATCATTTGAAAAGCTTGTGGTTACCATTGTAAAAAAACGGCCAGACTATCTTCCAAAGTGACTGTACCATTTTGCATGCCTATCAGCAACGAATGAGAATTCCTGCTTGTCGTTCCACATCCTTTCCAACATTGTTTTCAGTGTTGTTTTTAAACTTTAGCCATTCTAATAGGTATATAATGATATCTTGTTTTAATTTGCAATTCTCTGATCACATATATCGATAATCTTACCATCTGTTTATCTTCATTGATGACATACCTCTTCAGATCTTTTGTTCATTTTGTAATTAGGTTATTTTCTTATTGAATGTTAACAGTTATTTGTATATTTTGGATACAAATCCTTTTTTCAGAATGTGTTTTGCAAATATTTTTTCCTGTGGCTTTTCATTCTCTTAACAGTGACTTCCTCAGAGCAAAAGGTTTTAGTTTTAATAAAGTCCAATTTATCAATTTTTCTTTTCATAGATCATACTTTGGTCACCTAAATTTTCTTATCTTTTAGAAGTTGTATAGTTTCACAATTTACATTTAGGTCTATAATCCATTTTGAGTTAATTTTTGTGAAAAAGGTAAGGTCTGTTTACAGACTCATTTATTTGCATGCAGATATTTAGTTATACTAGCACCCATTTGTTAAAAAGGCTATCCCTTCTCCATTGAATTGCCTTTGCTCCTCTGTTAAAGATCAGTTTTCTATATTTGTATCGGTCTATTTCTGGGCTATTCTGTTTCACTGATTTATTTCTTTATTCTTTCATTGATACCACACTGTCTTGATCACCGTAGTGGTAGTAATCAAGGATAGTGTCAGTTTTCAAAAACCCTGTTCTTCTACTTCAACATTGTGTTGGCTATTCTGGTCTTTTGCTCTCCATATACACTTTACAATCAGTTTGTCAATATCCATAAAATACCTTGCTGGAATTTTGAATGGGATAGTATTGAATCTGTAGATCAAATTGGGAAGAATAGTTATCTTAATAATATTAAGTCTCCCTACCCATAAATGTGGAACATCTTATTTCATTCAGATATTCTTTTATTTCCTTCATCGTAGCTTTATAGTTTTCCTCACATAAATCTTGTACATATTTTGTTAGGTTTACACCTAAGGTTTTTGTTGTTGTCATTGTTTTGTTGGCACAAATGTAAATTAGCTTGTGTTTTTAATTTCAGATTCTGGTTGTTTGTTGCTATATATAGGAAAGCAATTGACTTTTGTAAAACTTTGTATCCTGCAATGCTGTCATAATCACCTATTTAAAAAAACAAAACTTTATCAATTCTTTGAGATTTTATACATAGACAATCATATCATTTGTGAACAGATAGTTTTATTCATTCTTTCCCAATCATCTTTTATTATTCTTGTTTTATTGCATTAGCTAGGACTTCCAGTGCGATGCTGAATAGGCATGGTAAGAAGGAACATCCTTGTCTTGTTCCTGATCTTAGGGGAAAAGCATCTAGTTTCTCACCATTATGATGTCAGCTATAGGTTTTCTATGTTCTTTATCCCATTAAGGAAATTCCATTCCATTCCTAGTTTTTATCATGATTGAGTGTTGGATTTTGTCAAATGTGTTTTCTGCATTTATTGATATATTCACATTTTTCTTTAGCTAATTGATGTGTTTACATTGATTTCTGAATGTTGAACCAACTTTGCATACCTAGAATAAATCTCTATTGGCTGTAGTGTATAATTGTTTTTATACGTTGTTGAATTCAATTTGCTAACATTTTGTTGAGAATTTTTGTATCTGTTCATGAGAGATACTGGCCTATAACTTTTCTTCATAGTAATTGTCTTTGCTGAATTTAGTATTGGTTAATGCTGGTCTCACCTGATTAGTTAGGAAGTATTATCTCTTCTATTTTCTGGAAAAGACTATAGAACATTGATGTCATTTCTTCTTTAAATGTTTGGTAGAATCCACTAGTAAAATTATCTGAGCTTGGTGCTTTCTGCTCTGAAAGGTTATTGTTGATTTAATTTCTTTAATAGATCTAGGGATATTTAGATTATCTGACTATTAATTACACCTGCCACTGTAATGATCTCTTATTTCTCCTGTGTGAGCTTTGGCCAATGATATTTTGAAGTATTATTTCCATTAGGATTAAGTAAATATTCAAGATGATGACTATTATGAATTATTCAAGTCATAAAGAAGTCCTTGCATATTAGGAGTTAGAAAAAAAATTATCTTTGCTACCGGTAAAGGTTCTAATACATTTGATTGCATATATTTAATCTACTGGAAAACTAAGTTCAGATTTGATTACTCAAAGAGGCATAGAAATTTATTTTAAACTGACAATGCCAAACAGAGCAACAAATTAATGAAACATCAACAACAGTGAGAGGCTTTTCATGTTTTCTTACAATCCCTTTTAAGATCAGAGAACATTTTTTTCCCAAAAAATTTCAAAGGAAGAGTCAGAGCCAAAGCATTTTGAAAAGAAAAAGAGTTTACTTGCAAAGGTTCAAGAGAGTCAGACTTCAGAAAAGCTGGATAAGCAAGTGAAAAATATAACAGGTATTTAAAGAAAAATATAAAGAAGATTACCATGATTACTAAGTTTGCATTAATTTGTTCATGGAGAAAAAACAAAATCTTATCACATGATGATCATATCCAGAAAGATCTTGCAACATGAGCTAAATAAAAGTCAAGAATAAAATGGTCTTTGTCGGGGTCTGGGGATATAAGAAATACTCAATATTTCATTATTTTGGGACCAGAAATTGACAAGGTAACCCTGTTCTTTTTGGTTAATCTTAGGGTACAAAGTGCTTCATCATGACAGAAACAGGGCATGACTTCTGCTTTGCTTCTAGAAGCATAAAGCAATGTCACTACTACAAAATATAGATACGATATTTCTTATAACTCTATTCACTGTTATAAGTACATAAAAATCCACAGTCAAATGATAGACTCTCAATTACCGTGGTTTTCACACATTTCTACCATCCATTCCTAGTGCACCGTATTGAGCCATACTGAGCTATATTTTTCTCCTTCACAACTTTTCACTTACGGGAAGACAGCTATTGTCCCCCACACTATCGTAATGTGGGCAAGAGGACCACTTGTCCCTCATATATTTAACACTCTTGACCCTCATATATTTAACATTCATAATTATGTGTTGCCTAAATACTCACTGTTGTAGTCATTGAAACACCTGTGAAATAATTTTTAAAACTGTATATTTACAAAAGAAAGCCTATTTCTAGTAATGATGATGGAAATTAAGAGAAAATATAGACATCTATAAAAGTGTGATGGTTCTCAATGATAAAATATGATTTATGAAACAAATGGCTAAAATCCTAAATATTTTGCACGTTTGTAGTCAGGAATTCTCTCTCTGATGAAATGTGGCAGCTTTTTCCTTCCCCTCCCTTTCACTCCTCCCCATCTCCCTTCTTCCATTCCTTCCTTTTAAATTTTAAAAGAAATGAGAGTGGAAAGACCTATACATACAAACCCATGCATGTACCCATCCCTCATCTTCTTAAAAGGATTTTAAACTCTGATTCTTCCATTACGTTCACCAGTCTTCCTTAAAGGTTTAGCTATGAGGAATAAATGTCAGTGTCCAAATGTCCAAAATCTAACATATTATCTCATAATTATGATAGGTACTTGATGCTAGGAGAAATAAGAGATTTGACAGTGAGAAAATTTCCTGATATACAATTTTGACAGTACATGTAGGATACTCAAAAGGAATTAAGGCAATTCACGTTATAATTCTTTCTAGTTATTAACAATATATTCCTTGTTAACATAATCTAGCAGGCAGGCATGGGCTTTTGAAGGGGCATAGAAAAAAAATGACCAAATCCACTGAGGAAAACTTGGTGATAACATTCTCTCTTTTTTATTTCAAAGGTGTCCTTGAATGGCCATTTTGGACAAAACTGGTTGTGGTAGCCATTGGCTTCACAGGAGGTCTTGTCTTCATGTACGTCCAGTGTAAAGTCTACGTTCAGTTGTGGCGCAGGCTGAAGGCCTACAACCGTGTGATCTTTGTACAAAATTGCCCAGACACTGCCAAAAAACTGGAGAAGAACTTCTCATGCAATGTAAACACAGACATCAAGGATGCTGTGGTAGTGCCTGTATCACAAACAGGTACAAATTCACTGCCATCTGCAGAGGGTGGCCCCCCTGAAGTTGTATCAGTTTGATGGAACCTGTTGGGAGTTCCTTCACCGAAGAATATCTTTCTAGCCCTCAGCCACTACAAATGACAGAAGTGATCTTGAATTATTTACTCTCTTCAGCTCCTCCTTTCTCCTACTGACACATTTTTCCTGACTTTGTTCAAAGAGGAAAGGAGGAAAACACACCAAATGCCCAGGATCCCATGAAGTATAGCGTGAAGTATGATATGGAAATGTGAAGTTTGCCAGAGAATGATTTCTAAGACAATTAAGAACTACTGGGGCAATGAATGCTTTTAGGCAGTAATCAAAGATTAAATGGACCCATGATACTCTTCAAAGTAACAGGGGAAAAGTTCAAGAATACAGACTTGAATTGCAATGTGTATTATTTCTAGGGCCTTGTAATGTTAACTGTCTCATCTGGAAATAACAAACATACTTGGTTTTAAGCCTGAAATTGTCTGCATTATCCCTAAGTCACATTGGAAGCGAACTTGGAGGATGCGTATTTTGATATGTTTTGACAGCTAACAGATTTTTATGGTTATAGTGGAGTCCGGTTATTTTGACAGATGCATGTTTTTTAAATAGATGCAATATACACTTGAAGACATTGATATTTGGAATTATGTTTAAGTCATGAACAAAAGATTTTCGGAAAATGTTCAGATATAATTACCTCTGTTAAATACCCACGGAACTCAGTTATCAGGTCTTATATTTTTTTCTGATTCCTCTAATACAGTGCTGTCCAATAGCAACACAATAACCACAAATGCAGGCCACATATGTGAATTTTTAATTTCCCAGTAGCCCCATTTTAAAAAGTAAAAATAAATGTAAAAGTGAATTTTGATTTTTTAAAAATTTAACACTATATATGTTATTTCAACATGTCATCAATATAAAAAATTGAGATAGTTTACATCTGCTTCTTGAATCAAGTTTTCAAAATCCAGTTTGTAATTTAAAAGCACACTTCAGCTTGAATTAACTATATTGGATAGCACAGCCGTAAAATTAGAGACTAAGCTTCTGTTTTATTTAACAGTTGAATATTTCAAAAAAGTTTCATTCTTTCTTTTATTTCAAAGTCTCATAAAAGTTATGATTTTTAAAAGCACTAAATTAAGTTAAGTATCCTCATTTTAAAGTCAGATGAAGTTCACATCTCTAAAGGGTAAAAATCCAAAAGTATAGAAAGATAAAATAATCTGCCTGTAGCAAAGTTGTGAAATTAATTTGTTTGTTACTATGAAGTACTTACGATAGGGGAATAAAATTACCTATTTTTGTTATTGAATCAAATGTGTAAGGCTTATTTCATCCATATGAGGTGTCAACTTGACAGATGAGTAATTATGACTAAGAATCTAGACCTTACTTATTATAAAAGCTGACAGGATTTCCCTTGCTCAGTTAGAAAGCAAAAATAGTCAACAGATTCTGTGATAAGTAATTAATTGTTTAGGTTTGACAGTTGATTATTGTGTTCTTTGCATATTCATGTAAAACTGATGTGTGAATGGCATTACAGTGAGTTAATGATTATAGATATAGTAGCCTGTCAAAGAAAGACGTCCTACATTAAAAAAGGTGTCATATTATGTTAGCTGTCATTATTTATTAACATGAAAAGGCAATGATGGCCATAAGAACCAAAGCATGAGTATTACATTGCACAAATCTGGGTATGACATGGATGCACTTTGTAATTATCAGTGTGCTTGTTCTTCACAGATCATAGGAAAAAGGAAAAAAAAAAAACAAACCTTTAAATGAGGAGAAAGATGGTATGAATATTAGTAGTGGCTGACATTGAGTCCAAATAGTCTTGATTCCTAGAAATAAACAAAAGGTAAACAATGTCAATTTTGTGTGTGTGTATGGCGTGTGTGTATTCATGTATATATGCGGGGAAAACGTTAAGGTATTCAGTCAGGAAACACAAGATTTAAAACTCATCTTTCTTAAAACTTGTTATAAGCATAGGGAAAACAAAGTCGAGGTAACTTAACCAAAAATTCTGTATAAATAAGGATATAAGTAATGTTTTAAAAAACATGTGGACCTTAAACAAATTAAACTGTATATTAAATTCCTCTTAAATTCCCATTTTAAATATTTAAGATAAATATATTTATGAATAACAAATCTGTGGGTGATTTAACCACGGCACCACATCCAAGGGATTAACCTTAATGCAATTTTCGTGTTAATTGTCCCAAGCTTCTTACTAATCCATTTTCCCTGTGGGTTAGTAATGGCAACATGCTGTTTACAGATATGTTATCTACAGAAAAACATCTAGATATCAGCAAACAAAGAAATGTTGATTTCTCTTTTGTTTGCTCTGAAAGTAAAATAGTCATTTACCTTAATTAATATGGAAAATATTGTTTAAATTCTGTACGAACCTAAACAAGATAGGTTGCAGGGTTGATTTCACAGTGGAGGATGATTGGCTAAAATAAAGCCTCATCTATTAAGGGCTACACTTAACACTAAGAAAACATTTCTAGAATGAAAAGCAAAGATAAGCATTATTGTATTAATAGTAAAAGAGGACATGGGATTTTAAAACTATATCTAAATTCTTGAAATTAACTTTTATGGGCTTGGACATTGTTGAAATGAGAAAATAATATAGCTTCCTGGCAGGTTAAAAGTCAACACTTGATTTTGCTCTTCTTCTGACTTTTTGAAACCCTGAAGTTCTGAATTTCAAGCTTTTAAGAAGCTTTTCAGCAATGGTTGTTTATGGTTCAAACATCTGAAATAACTACCTGCATTTAAAATCTAATGTTGATTATTTTATTTTTACATTCTGTGTGGCAATGGAACATTTGCCCTTTCAAACAATAAAACGATTTAGCTTCGTGGCAGTGCTTTTTTTGTGGACTGACTATACCCTTCAAAAAGGAAAACTGCTCTACAGAATGCCAATTTTGAGGCACGTTTACCTGCTCATGGAAGAAATAAAATGGAACTGAAAAAAAAGGACTAAAATTGAAGAATGAAATTACCGTTGTGTTAAAAACCTTGGCTCTTTATAATCATGAATCTTCAGTATTATCAATACCATAAACCAGACACTGATGCTGTTAGTTTTTTAAAGAACTATCACTCTTATCGTACAGGAGCAAAGATTACACTGTAAAAGAAAGAAATTCCAATTTTTTTAAAAGTAAAGCCCAAAAGGCAAGCTTAAGTACAAAACCAAAACAAAAATGAACACAATCTAAACTAAAGTGAGCCCAACAAGCTGATACAGCAATGTGTAACCTGCAGGAAGATAGGTACAGACTGAAGGAGTCTTTCAAAACACCCCAGCAGTCAATCTCACTCTGCGCTGCTTCTACACACGATTATAGTCCCAGAGAGACGACCTCATAGTTATATTTTATCTTGTTTTACAAAAGGTCCTTGGGTACTCTTTAAAACATCTATTCTTTGGCAGGAAAATTAGCTCATTAGAGCAATGACAGCATTAAGGGAAATTATAAGGGCCCTGGGGCTGAGGTGGGAAGATTCTTCCATCTGCCCCATATAGTTTACCCTTCCTTGCCTTGAAAATGAATCTTTTGGAACAGAGTACAGCTCTTACAAGTTACTAATATCATTATTATTATAGTTGTTACATAATACTTTAATTAAGAAAGATGAAAACCTTTTTTCTTTCCTAAGTCAGCCCAATGGTGCTATTTTACATATCAACACAGTTGAAAGGAAGTACTGTTATTTTGGGCTGCAGTGTTTCCTCCACATCTAAAGAAAGCCCATTTTGAAATTGGATACTGCATTAAAACAAAGAAGGAAAAATTATTTTAACTGTGTGCAGTTTTTGAAATTAGGCATTTGTACTATTTTGGTTTTACATAATTCTCTTGCATTAACAATTTACTGTTTTGTGAATCATGTGTACTAAAGCAAATTAAGAAAAAGAAAATAACTATCTGTGAAAGACTTTGTATATTAAACAAGTGATGCAAACCTTGGTTGTGGTTTCCACACTTTTTGCCTAACAGACTATTTGCATTTGCAACGTCCAAACACACATGTTTTTGATTTAAGATTTTACAAGGGTCTGAACATATATTATTTTAAAGCAAACCTACATTGACTAACTCATGACATGGTACAAAGAAATAAATACACAAACAGAGGGAAACCAATGAAAATAAACAATGTGGACTTTCAAACCTGCTTTAAAAAAAGGTTTAAGAGAAATCACAGTGTAATCTAGAGGGATTTTCTCAAGAATAAGTCTTGGATATAGACAAATAAGAATATAACAGCATTTTTCTATTAAGAGCTAATAGTGGATTCAGATAATTGCATGGATAATAAACATTAAAAGCAAGATATTACAATCTAAGAGGCTTGGTGATAGCAAAACACAAAGCACTCTCCAAATGTCCAACTTATAAGGACCTACAGGGCTTTCTACCAGTCTGCTAACTATACGAGCCAACTCTTCCACCCAAACTGGAAATCTGAACTTAACACCCTCCCTCACCACCAGAAATTATAGCAAACATTCCTAGATCATTAACCACTGCCATTATGTGTTCAATGATCCTAAACTGGGTGCTGTGATAGAGATTACCAAGCGTAGCAAGTGTGTGTGGGGTAGAGATGCTTTAGATAGAGAGGACACTTTTAAGCTCAGACCTAAAGGAAGAGAGAACAATCATTTATTGTTGGCCTTGCGAAAGCTCAGAGAATGGCAACACAGGCAGAGGGAATGATAAGTACCAAAATCCTGAATGGGAAATGTCAAGCAAGGCTGATGGATTCGGCCAGTAGGGAAACAAGCCCTTGTAAGACTCTATTACAGTCATCCCTCAGTATGCGTGGAGGACTGGTCCCAGGACCTCCTTTGAATACCAGAATTCATGGATGCTCAAATCCCTGAAATAAAAATGGTGTAGTATTTGCATATAACCTATGTATATCCTCTTGTATACTTAAAATCATTTCCGGATTACTTATAATACCTAATACCATGGAAATAGTTGTTACAATGTATTGTTTAAAGAACAACGACATGAAACAAGTCTGCATGTTCAGTACATACTTTTTTTTTCAGACTATTTTTCATCTGTGGTTGGTTGGATCCAAGGATGAGGAACCCTTAGCTAGGAAGGGTCAACTGTACTTACAGAGGCAGTAAAATGCAAAGGTGTGGCCTTCCCATATGTCTTGTCCTACAGAAAGACACAAACAGAAAAGGGGCCAGATGACCTGATAATGGTACATAAGGGGAAGGGCACTCTGTTGCTGAGATGCTGAGTCCATGTTGCAGCTAAGTATTATATTAGACTGGTGCAAAAGTAATTGCAGTTTTGCCATTAAAATTACTTAAAAAAAAAAAAAAAGACAAAAACGGCAATTACTTTTGCACCAATCTTGAGTCATTAAGTTTTATAGGCTGCAGCTCTATGCTACAGTGTCTCGAGGTGGAGTCTCAGAGGTCATCAGAACTCAGGTGATGACAAATTGTCTCACTATCTTCTTCCCAGATCGGGAGGCAAATGATATCCTCCATATCTCCGTGTTCTGGGAAGATACAGGACAGTCTTCCAAGGCTCAGTCAGGTCATCCGCGGCAAAACCCTGCCCAGCTTGGATCAAGTGAACATACACAAGGCCATCCGGGTGCTGGCGACAGGAGCAAGAACAGTGGCAAGAAGGCCAGTTAAGAAGCTACTGCACATAGGACAGGCAAGACATGGTGACTTTGGTAAGGATGAAAAGTAGAGACTGCCTGACAAGGGCCAATTTGATTTTCATTTTGGAAGTGGAATCACAAATACTCGCTAATTAAATTATATTGCGGGAAGGCATCAAGGATGATTTTACAGGCAGATTTCTGGCTTGAGAAATTGTGTGAAAAAACTTAGAAAAAACAGGTTTCTGAGAAAATAAGGAGTGGGAAACAGAACATAAGTAGGAGTATTTGCCTGTGAAAGGAAAAAAAAGATATATCCATTAAATCAAAAGAAAGTGGTAATTCGTATTTTCTCAAAGATGTATAAAAAGGTTGAACATTGAGAAGGCTAGTATTCAAGTCAAGCTAGAAAAAAAATTAAAGAAAGTAGTAAAATAATTATCTCAAAGTTAGAAAATGAACTTAGTTGGGGAACATAATAAGATCACTAAGCAGTACTGAGAATTCACTTGAGATTTGCAAACATCAGTATGAAAATGGTCTGTTTGATATTCTTCAGCGATGTTGAGCTGCTTGAGAACAGGCATGAAGGAAACATAGCTATTACTTGGTTTGGGTTCTGAAAGAGAAATAACTCTGTTACAGAGTCAGGGGCAAAGGAATTGAGGGTATATGCAGGGAAGCAACTATGAACTTGAAACTGAGCTCAGCAAGATAGATGATGCATGAGAGTGAGGTCAAAGTGCAGAACTTCAGCAATGAAGAGGGGTGGTGACAGTGAATGAAGAGTGGAATACTCAAAATCAGGTCTACAGAGTGGAGGTGCTGATAAGGATCCAGGTGTGACCATTGAGAGGCCTCTGATGGGATGGAGAAAAAGACCGGAAAACTTAAAACTCAC